TACGAGAACGATCCGAAAACGAAGAAGATGATGATGATCTTGATAATCTTGAAGTATCATCAAATAAAATCTCTTTCGAATCATATTCTCCCGAAGAAGAAGGAGGAGTGAGAAAGCCTAATTCACGTTCGAATCGAGAACGAAGCTGTTGATTCTACGTTTAAAAGAAACGAAATGACGCGTCATGTCGCGTGAGACAACGAAATTAGTTTATGAATGGATAATAAACATGGATCACATGATAAAACGAATTGCGTAAAAACGATAGATAGCCTTACCTTATTCTCAAATTCTTGTAATTTTTGATTTGCAACTTTATTTTCTTCGTTAGCATCCTCCAATTTCTTTTCTAATTCAACAATACGTTTAGCATTATCCGTACTTTCCAATTCTTGAACCCTTCTTTCAAGGAATTGACATTTTTCCTGCATTTCCCTCTCACGTTGCTTTCGACGATCTCTAAAGCGAGCAGAAGCACCAGCATTACGACGTCGCTTTTCAGCCAACAATTCGCTAGCAGGATCAACCCCTGACCTTCCTTGATGATAAATCGGATGAGAATAAGGATGATGACTTGGTCTCACCAAAAGATTAGAATGATGTGAGGGATGATTGATATGAGATGTGGTCATGACCAATTGTGATGGCGCGCTGCCAGCAGCTCTTGTGGGTGAGAAAGGTTGCGAATGTTGTTGGTCAACATATTGTTGCTGAGAAGGTGGCGCGTCATTATGAAAATGAAAGTGACCGTGAGCCGAAGAATGCGGCGACGTACGTTCGGATTGAGGAGGAGAAATATAAGATTGTGATTGTGAGATATGTAGAGAAGTTAAATTACGAGATGAATTTTTGGTAAAATCGGGTGGTGGTGTAATCGGAGAAAGTAGAGGAGGTATGGGAGGTAGACATGAAACTGGTGGCAAAACTGGTGCCGGCACGCCATTATTAGAATGGGAAACTGAGGACGATACATCAAGTGTCATTATCGGTGGTAAAACCCGTTCAGACGCACTAGAGTGAAATGACATGATTATCGAATCAATTTAGGAAGAAAAAAAAAATCGACCGGATTTTTTTTTTTTTTTAAAAAAAAAAAGTGTTGTTTAAGAAAGAACGAGAGAGAATAAAAAATAAAATAGAAAATGTATTTTTTTTTTTTTTTTTTTTTTGAGTTGTGTGAAATGTTATAGTTCGTTGCTAATTTGAATTTTTTTTGTTTCGTTAGTGCAAATTTAAAGGTTTTTTTTTTATTTTTAAATAAAAAGAATTTGTAAAAATTTTGGTTTGCAAGAGACGATTTTTAATAATAACAAGCCAATGAACATAACTTTTGGGTCATATAATCCTTGATTGCTAACAAAAAATATTAAAAAAAATTTCTTGTAGAGAACATAAAAAATTTATCAGCTATCAAATTTAAAAAAAAATTCTTTGTTCAATATTTATAAAAAAAGGAAGAAGATAAGTCGGTTTTCAATGAGTCAAAGAAGATTGTTGAATAAAAGGAACAAGTACGAAATTTTTTTTTAAAAAAATTTTTTATGCTAAGAAGAAAACAAGGTCGAATATTTCTCCGAGAATTAAACAAAAAAAAAAAAAAAATAGCGGGCTTTTATTGTAAAACTTTTATTGTCATCGCGTGAAGGAGGGTTAAACTCTAAAGCTTCCATAGATTGCCGATATATAAATAAAAAAAAAAGAAAAAGAAACCCATATAATTATAATTAGTGTGGGTAATGGTTAATGATGATGCCATGATTTGTTGACTATGGGTAAAATTACGTGGCACAACATGCTTTTATAATAAATATAAAATGTTATTGTCTGGAAGTGAATATAAAATAAAAATTTTTAGTGTAAGGTATTCCAAATCCCCAATTCCGATTGTATGCTAATCTAAAAATTATCTATTACTTATATTCGACAATGTGATTGATTTACATTGGATTTAAATAGTATAATTTTAAAGTATTTTGATGGCAAAAAATAATACTCTGCAAGAACTTTCCCATTCTTTTTTACATTTCAGCCGAATTAACAGTTGATACGGTTAGCACCAATTTAACATGGGTGGGGTGATGAAATTAGTTTCCCAAGAATTAGAATAATTATAATTGATAATAATTATAATGTGTAGTTTAAAAGATGTTGATAAATTTTTTTAATTGGAACAATAGGATTTGCGTCATTTCTTCTTTACACTAAATATGGAGTAACGTAAACAACGCCCGCACGGGTAACCGACAATATTACATTGGTGGCAAATTTCAATAGGAAAAAAAAAATAATAATAATAAAATGGATTTCTTAGGAATTTCAGGATTTTAGTTCGAAACACAGATTTAGTTGAAAAAGAGGAAAAATTAGATTTTGTTATGATTCCAAGTTCGAAATGCGTCATAAATGAGAGTTATCGATATTCTGTTACGAACAAAAACCTTTCCCCTCTCTTATTGGTAACTTTCTTGAAACACCTATCCTTATTTGTAATATTGCGAAAAAGTTGAGATTATGACCTCAAGCGTACAAAAAAAAAGTAAGACGTACGAAAGTATTTTTGTTCATCAGTTTTTTTGTTTTTTTATAAATGCAAAAAAAAAAAAATCAATGCATAATCTTTTACAAGGCTTAGTTTAATATTATTTTTGATTTGGGCGTTTTTTTTTTCTTGTTAATCTTTACCAGCTTAATTCAATTGCATTTTTTCTTATCTTTTTTTTTTATTTTATTTATGATTCCATAAACATTACGATATCAGTCATCATCCCAAAAATTTTATTCTTTAAATTTTTTTTCTTTTTTGCCATTCTGAATTAATCCTAAATCTTCCTTTTTCCCCATTTCGAAATTTTTTTGCCACCTCATCTATCATGGGAAAAGATGAAAATGCCAATTTTTTCTTTTTAAGGGAGTAGATTTTATTTACCAATTTTGGTTCAAAGTGAAAGGGAAAGAGATCTTACTATCATAGAAAGAAAAAGTTTTTTTTTTTTTTTTTTTTGTAAAACAATATAGTGGGGAAAAATATTAAGGGGGGGGAATTGAAAATGGGAAATTGTTTGGTTTCCGATAATTATCTACAAAAATCGAGTTTTTGAATATGTGCATCATGGAATATTTAGGATCTTTATCGATGGTTAAAAATCGTTCTAACCAAATATTAAAAAAATTTCCATTAAAAAAAAAGGGAGTGCCCTTTGTTAAAATTCCGTGCCACCTGTGACAAGAGACGAGAAAAGTTATGAATGACATGAACTATAACCATATTGTATAACATAAAAGTTAGGGTAATTAAAAAAACATTAGTGATAACATATTCAGTTAAGGTTTTAATCACTGATAAGCTAATTTATGTTGTGACACATTGAGATTACCCAGTAACGATACTTGTTTATATCATAATTATTTTACACGAACCTTATGTGGATTAATTAATTAGTAACCTCTTTTTTTAATGCAGAAAGTTCATTAATTATAAAAACAAAAAAAATAATAAATGTAGATTCATGTTTGAAAACTGGTGCTAATCCATTAATCGAAAAGAAGGGAAAGATGAGAGGTATAAAAAAAAACTGTGATTACGCAATGATTCATTCTAATAGTTACATATGATCAAGGTTTCAAGTTACCTACCTATATTTATCATCTTTGAAATTCTTTTTAAACCATAAACAAATAAAGCAAGTAATGTATAATGTAAGCATGGTATACGGTCCCAGGTCAAAAAAACAAATCTTTTTTTACACTAATGGGAAAAACTGCATAGAGCGTTCTATTATAAATTCAACCTAAATTAATACGTAAGATTTATCATCATGGTAAATTATCCCTTTGCGATGCTTTGAGTATATGCACTGCGCCACCCTTCAGAGTTAGCTATATTCGGTGCTATTGAAAAAATTCACTCAATTCTTTGTGATGAAAGCATATAAATGCAATTTTTTAAGGGTGGAAAAAAAAAGAATGCCAATACATACAAATAAATAATGACTTTTGGCGTCTTACCTGAATTTTCCACCCATTTCCTTCTCATCGTGACGACAGCACTACATAATTCAACATTTCTCTGAGTCAAATTACTTTTATTGATCTATTTAAAGTTACCTTTTTCCATAAAGAAAGAATCGACCAATCACCTCACTCAAGTTTAAATTATCTAAACGAACAAAAAAAAATAATCAAAAATCATTTTTAAGTTATTAGTCTGAAATGCATAAATATAATGGTGAAACATTCATACGTGAACCGTTGGAATTTGATGGAATCTTTTTATTGTAACATTTAATTAATGATTTGTAACAATTGTCATGCAGAGAACGTTTGGGAAATTTTTTTTTTATCATTATGATGAAGATATCCTATTTCCTCCAACTTTTCATTACTCAATAATTATGTCTGCGATATTGTACAAAGATTTATGACAACGTTCTTGAAAATTCGTTATGCACAGTAAAATGCGGCAAAGCGCATGCATACACATTATTATTATTTCTCCACATTTTCATATAATGCTGATAATCAAAGACAAAGAAAACTACCATTTTTAACCATCACATGAGTGAAGATTATAGAAATCTTTTACATTATAGATTATCTTGAAAATTTCTTTATTAGAATGTTTTGTCCTTATCGTTATATATTATATATAGATTTTGTAGATTATATCATTATTTCATCAAAATACGATCACGTGAAAATCAATTACTGCGTCCTTTTATTTGTTTATTGCAAATTGCAATAAATAAACAAATAACAATAATAACAACAATAATAATAATAAAAATCATAATTTACAAGTTCGTTTAAGCTGTTTTTCTTTTTTCTCAGAACCATTTTGGTAATCAAGAACTTTTAAAAAAAAATTTCACACAGTATAATACTCGAATTTTAGCCATTCTTTGGCGTTGGTAATTAATGAAAATTATTTGTGAATTTATCAAGTTAAATCTGATTATTATATAATGTTGATAATAAATGACGTTTTGCATCTCTGCGTTATGTTAACCTGAACTGTCAATAATACCACCAGCTGAAATAGTATACGCTATTGTTTTACATAATTAAAATTAGTAATAATTATTTGATCTAAATAAATAGTAATTTGAGATTCTTACGTGCTTCGGCCTCAGGCATATCGGGGGAATCATAAACCTTTGCTATACGTTCATCCCCACGACCTTTGCGAAGGTAAAGACGAACGGTTGATCTAAATTTAATCCGAGAGTTGGTTAATGTTTGTCAATTATATAAAGTTATCGAATGAACTCGGAACTTACGCGTGGGCAAGCACGTGACCCCCTATGGGCTTGCGTGGGTCACTCACAAACATCATGTTGCTACCTGGGTCAGCTTGAACCTAAAAAAGATACTTCAGTTAAATTTGTACATCAACATTCGCACATTAGTACTTTCATTACCTGATTTGTAATATAGACGGCTACATTATATTCTTCTGAAATTTTTGTCAACCGACTGAGCATGATATTCAGCTTTTGCTGTCGTTCGGCGAGTTCACCACGGCCCGCATAATCGGTTCGAAAAAGTGCAATGATTGAATCAATTATCTATATTTTAGAGAGATTATTTAATTAATTCCTAATTGAGAAATTACAAATCACGTTAAGGGTTTAATTCATACCAATAATCTATAAACTCCTTTCTCTTCGGAAAATCGAGCGGCCAATTCAATAATTAATTCCATTTGATGTTCTGAGGTAAAGGCACGAGCGAAAAGAATATTTTCAAGTGCTGCTTCTTGGTCAATCCCGAAGCGAGCAGCTATGGACCTGATGCGCTCTGGACGAAAGGTTCCTAAGGTAATATAATAAAGTAAGACGAAAATTTTATTTACAATTACTCGAAATTTTCATGTAAATTTACCTTCTGTATCAATAAACGCGGCCTAAATTAAGAAATAATAACATTTATTATGTATTTCATTTCATCAATAATTTATGATGATTTATTTAGTACCTTGCCATTTGTCCCACCCATGTTTGATGGAAGTTGTGCGACGACACATAACGTGTGGGCAATTTGTGTCTTACCCGTCCTAAATTCACCAAAGGCTTCCGTGATGGACATGGTGGGAACTCCACCTGATAATTCAAAAGTTCTAAATTATACGTAAAAATAATTTAAAAACACATTATGAAAAGTAAATTACCGCCTAAAAGCGAATCCAACGCCTTGCTGCCCGTTGAAATATGCATTACTTTCAATCTTATTTGCGAATATTCGGTGCCAGTCATGAAAGAAGCAGACTTGCCAAATAATAACGATATGATGTAAACATAATTGTATAAAGGTTTGCTGATAATGTTATTAATCAATTTATACCTGAAGCTTGCTGGCCGTCTCTTTGAGTTTATCAACCTTGGCCTCGGAAAGGCCTTTAATCTTACAGAGATTTCTGCGGGTCGTCATATGAATCGCCTAACGTTTATTTACATTTTACACAATCATTCAATGATTAAATTATACAAATGATACAGAATAAATTCTTCACATGAAAGAAGTATTTAAGGTGATACGATACTCGCACAGTACAAATCCCTGCACTTTTTAGTTTAGCAATATCAGATGAGTTAATCCCATGGTTTTGCAACTCGTCTATTTCTGTATAGAAAAGTTCCTAATACATAAAATGTGATAAATTTTATGTAGATTTTTATACTCGATGAATAAATATTAAAAAATTTACTTCTTCTTCTGACTCTTGGACGTCAGCTTCTTGATCAGGTAATTGTTCAAGTTCACTCATATTTAATTTTTTGGAATAATGAAAATGTTATGAAAATATTTATTCGTTAAAAAAAAAAATAAAATAAAATAAAATAAAAAGAGGTCCCTTGATAAATAAACAAATTCCTTTAATTATCGCTTTCTCATACAAATATTGATTTGATTGTAAGTTGAAAGTTTATTCAACTATGATCACGCACAAACTCTGATGACGTAAGACTTTTTGTCAACTCATTAAATTTTTAAAAATTCTGTTAATCTTTTTTTATTGTAATTTGACAATTTTTTATAAATTCATTGGTTTTAACTATCACGATAGTTATTGTAATCACTAAAAAATTTGACTTTTTTATATTAAAAATAAACTTTTTAAATTAATTATTAAAGATCCTTTGATTTATTAAGATTTATATATAATATAATAAATTTAAACTTTCAAAAATAAAAGTTTCAAATATATATATAATAAATCTAATAAATTTTTTATTATTAGTCCGGAGCGTTAGCGAAGGACTAATTATTACTTTCTATGCATTGTGTCCGTTTGTCCGCCCGCTTATCATTTGAGACGACGAATATCGGCTATTTATAAATACCGTGGTACATTTTCCTAAAAAGAAACTGCCCGCAACATAGATTTAATAAATTCTCCCTAAAATGTGTTGTATTTATTTTTATTAGACGTTTAAATAATAAATAAATCATTGTAAAATAAAAATCTATTATATCCCTTTGAGACTACATATTACGTTCGTATGTTGTGTGTTACTGCTGTGGTATCAAAGTGAGTAAGCGTGTTTCTTAAGCTCCGGACTTCACAACGGTGGTACCGTTCCCTAGTTTTAAATAATATGAAAAGATTACTAAGAAATCATATTCTGATAATTTTTTAATTTTTTATTGCATTTCAATTTTTGATAATATTATATTAAAATGTAATAAATTTTATTTTAGTTAAAAGTTTTCAGAATCTGATTTTTTAATAATCTTCCTATATTTTTTTATTAATAATATTAAATAATTTTCTTTTTTTCTTTTTTTAATAAATTTAAAATTAATAAATATATCAAAAAAAAAATTAATTATAAAATTTATATTAGTTAAAATTATAATTATTATAGTAAAAATTTAAATATATTTTGCTTAAAAATCATATTTATAATTTTTTAAAAATTTTTAATAATCTTTTATTAAAAATCTTTAATTAAATTAGAAAACAAAAATTATTATTAAGTTTTAAATAAATATAACTAATTATATGATATAAAAGGTCTAATTATATTCAAAAACTTAAAGTAAAGGCCTTTTATTTTAAAGTAATTACTTTTAATAATAGGTGATTAAGATTATTTAAGTCACGTATATTATATGATCACATGATATATTATATAAATCATCAATTAACATAATCACATATAATTTATTATTATGTATTATATTTTATAAAATAGATTGTTGATTAATTAAAAGTTTATTTTTTTATTATTATTATTTTTACTATTTCAACTACTTTATTAAATGCAATAGTATCAAAGTTGTCTAACACTTATTACTTTCTTTATATTTTTCATATTTCAAAAAACTTAAAAATTGTCTAGTAAAAAAATTGGAATAGTATTATAAATTAATTTATAAAGACTTTTTACATATTTAAAATAATTTGTATAAAGATAATTTTAATTATTGATAGATAACTTTAGTTAAAAAATATTTCTTGATTTAAGAATATTTTAATAATTTATTAAACAATTGTCATCAAATATAGACAAAATATTATTAATTCAAATATTTTATAATTAGTATTCAAAATATATAAAGAATTAAAATAATAAACTGCTTAATCAAAAAAAGCTACTAATAATACATTATCATGTTGTAATTTATATAATTAAACTTTAAATTAAAATTATTAGATAATGAAGCTAATTTTAACTAATATATATATATATAAAGTCGAAATGAATTATTTTAAATATTTGAAATGGGCAAAATAGTCAAAAAATTTTTAGCTTTATTAGATATGTATTGGTAACTTAATAATTAGCAGTATATTCTTTGATAAAATGATATGATTTACAATTATTACTACTATAACCCATTTTGATACATTAAAATTTGCGTTAAACCAGCATAATTAATAATTATACTTAATTTTATTAATTTTATTACATTTTACAAATTATTTTACTGATTATTTACTAATCATTTTTCATTTTATCATATATAATAAACACTATAATAATAATTTTTATTTAAATTAATTAAATTAATTAACTCTATTAGAAAAAAATCCTATATAATAATATATACTAAAATTTATATATAGCTAAATATTATTATATTAGATTATAATATCAATATTTATCAAAATAAAGTTAATATTAAATATCTTTTACTAAAAAAAACTGATTACAATAATATAAAAAAAAGTGCTGAAATTAATTTATTATTTAAATAAATTAGCTCTGATTGAATATTCTATATAATGATATATACTAAAATCTTACATATAAATTTACATTATTATGTAGTATTCTAGCATTAAATTTAATTAAAATTAAATTATTATTTAATTAATTTACTAGTAATAACTTTTACAATTTAATTATATAATTATTAATTAAATTTATTAAATTAAAAATTTTATTATAATACCTTTATATTATTTTTTATATAACCTAAAATATGAAATATAATGATCAGCATAGTTAGGTTATGCATTTATAGTTTTGCCTAAATCTTTAAAGTCTAAATAATTAATATTTATAATATTATATTATTTATATATAAAATATTCAAAAAGTTGATTCAGCCAACTTTTATGTTATTTAAATTTTTATTATCATACTTTTATATTAAATACTATATAATCTAAAATATGAAATATAATAGTCAGCATAGTTAGGTTATGCATTTGTGATTTAACTCAAATCTTTGAAGTTTAAAATATTTCATTTATTATGTAATTTACTTAATTAATTTAATCCAAAGCTAACTTATGCATAACATTTACTTTTGATTTATTATTTCAAATTTTTATTATTTATATTCTAAAATATCATATTTATAATTTTTTTTAATACTGTGTTATCTAAAATTTAAATTTAAAATTATTTAATTTTATATAATATGATAATTCAGTTATATATAATCGACAAAATAATCAATATGCTAATATAAGTATATTCATTATGTTTATTAGACTTAGATAAATGAATAATACTATTTGAATAGGTTACTATATTATTAAACTGCATGATATTATACCTATTATTATTTAAATTCATTACAATTACTGAAAAGAAAGTCAAGAATAATCTAAAATGATAATCTATATCATATTTGTTTCACTATACATCAAAATCACTCTAAGAATTGAACTTAGACCTCTAAATCCTAATTGTAATATAGTTATTATGATAATTAAAGATAATATAATATCAACTACCTATAACTTACGATTATTGTTTAATCTAAATTATACAATACTTACTATTAATTTTACTCTCATAGATACTCTTTGCAAATGATGTGATACTTGTTCATTATAAACTAACCCTAACTATAGATTTTAAACTTAATTGGTTTACTATAGATAATATTATCTATAATCTTTACCTATAATAATAATGAGACATAGATCTAGACTAAAAATGGTAACAACAGTAACAACAATTATTTTATTATATTGCAACTAAAGTTGCTAAACAAAATCAAAAGTTTAGATAGACGTCTAAATAGTAAAAGTAAAACTTGGTTAAATTATATTAAAACGTTATTAAAAATCTGCAAAATTTGGAAAAAGGTAAAACTATATCAAAGCTTATAAAAATGGTGAAACTATATCAAACACTTAGTAAAAATTTAACGAAACTAAAAGTTTTACCGTTTTGCCAAATCCAAAATGAGTTTAGACAAGCAACCTTAATTGCAACAAATAATAAATCAATTCAATATTATAATATTATTAATTTAATTAACTGTATATTATAATTAGTTGTAATTATTATAGGGAGTAGTAATTAGTTACAATTATTACAAGAAACTGCAATTAATTATAATTAATATAATTAATTGTAACTTAAATTATATTGTAATACTATGTTACAATATAATATTATTATAATAAATAATTATTGCAATTAAAAATAATATGTTACAACTAATAATAATAAGATGCAATTTTTATAAAGAATCACAATTAATTAAAATTATTATAGAAATTATAATAAATAATATAATATTTAAATAAATGATAACTTTAGATATTTATAGTAAGCTTTTTATTTATATAAATTGGCTTATCAGTAAAATCAGTGGCTTTTTTAATAAGGTTTTGTTAAGCTTAATTACTTAATAGATATAGTTAGGCTTAGTTAATAGCTTTAATATTAATAAAATTTTATAAATAATTTGATTTTCATAATAAAATTTTAAAATAAATTTTTTTAAAAAAAAAAAATAAATATGTAAATCAAAATTTTTTTTAACTTTTTAAATAATAGAAAAGTAATAATTTACAATTATTTTAGATAATATTACTAATATATCATCAAAAAGTATAAAAAGTTTCAAAAAAAATTTAGGAAGAAAATTTTAAGTATAGGAACATTTTATTTAAAACAAAGAATATACTACACATAATTATTATAAAGGAACATGTAAATATTGTAATAAGTTTAAACAGATATTAAACCCAATATTTTACATACTCATTTAGTATCTTATTATTCAAATATTCTAATAATATTAGTTTAGAATTTCTAGAATTATTTAGTTTAAGTTGAATTAATAATAAATCTTCTAAATTTAAATGACAAAAAACTAAATATTCTTATGCTTCCTCTTCTTTCACCTCTTTTTATAAATAAACTTTATTCAATCAACAATATTATAAAACCAAAAAATCTATAGTTGCCTGACGAAACCTATTGTGGATTTGTCGAAACGTCTAAACCTCTAGTTTCGACAGGTTTTTAATATGTCTATAATATAGTTTCGACTGTTTGATATAGCTTG